CAAAAATTAGTTGAGGAGAGGCCTGACGCGCCCGAGGTGGGGCTGAGGCCCAAGGTGAGGGCTGAGGCCCAAAAAGTAGAGGTGATCCCCTTACTAAGGCCCATCCCACAACGACAATAGGCAAGGTATTGGGAGGGATATCTCCTAGTAAGACGGCTTGTTAATCTCTCCAGTGCAGTTTAAGGCCACAATAAGGAACCAATCTATTTGACAATATTAAGGTTATATTTGTTGGCTTTTACCACAGTACAAGCAGAAATGACATCTACTCTCCTTCAAAAGCACAACTACTACAGTCTACTCTGTTGCCAGCATTCACGCCGGTCATTAACCTCAAGTAAATGGTAGCACGATAGCAGCATCCCACACCACACAGCCCACATCACCCTCAGGTTCTTGCCACAGCGCCCACATTCTGTGTCTTATAAGTCTTCCAATGTTTACCTGCACGGAAGGAACATGCTTCATGTTAGGGTTGGGAGTGGAGATGGAGGGGTGGAGGTTCTGGTGCAGTGGTGGAGTTGGGTGGAGATTGGAGGTGTGGATTAGTGGAGGGGGAGGTGGAAAGAAGGAGGAGGAAGCAGAGGTTGGCCAGGTGGAGAGGAGGAGGAGAGGAGAGGTGGATGTGGTATGAGGGCCGAGTGGAAGATGGATGGCGGAGAGGCAGAGTGCAGAGGAGGAGGCAGAGGTGCAGGTAAGGGAGTGAGGCAGAAGCGGTAGGTGGAGGAGGTAGAATTAAAGGTGGAATTGGAGGTTAAGGAAATTTCGCTTGTTACTTTCCGATTCGGGTCCGATCGATACTGGTACTTATGGCCGTGGTTGCCGAAGGCGCCGGTCATGCAGCGAGGGACTGGTAGGTGTTTTACGCGCTACAGTCTGCGTTCGTTTATATCATACTATTTATAGTTGCAGTTTTGTTGCAGTTTATGGTAGTTTATTAGTCCACCTAACAGAAATGTTTTTTTGCAGATGTCTGGAGGTTATAACATAGGTTTTTTGGGGCGGGTTTCACCCACTTTTTCGTTGTTGGGTCATGATAAATTGCGGTTCGTTTGATTGGGGTCATGCCTGCACTGATTTGGTCTAATTGAAATGTCGAGCTTGTTTGAAGAGGAGTGACAGACAAAGGGTTGTTAGTAGATATTGTATTGTGTTATATTATAAGACGATATAGTATTAAATCTATTATTATATTATGTCATATCATTACACATTCACACAGTTCTACACACACACACACATCACACAACACACCACTACACTACATCAGGCCATCACATCTACAGCTATCTACTATCGAGGCTACACACACAATTGCATCATGACTACACATCTTACAGGTTTACACTACTATATATTATTAGGATTATATTTTTGTTTGAGTATTTTTTGATTATTATTATATATTCGTTTTTTTGATGGGTATAATATGGTATTTATTATATATTTGTTGTGTTGTAGTTATTATTGTGTGTGTGTGTGGTGGTGTGTGGTCGTGGTGTGTTGTGGTGTGTGTGGTTGTGTGTTGTGTGTATAGGTGTTGTTGTGTGGTATATTAGGATGTTGTGTGTGTGTGTGTGTGGTTGGTGTTTGTTGTGGTGTGTGGTGTGTGTGGTGGGTGTTTGTTGTTGTGTTGGTGTTTGTGTGTGGTGCTCGTGCGTTGCTGTGGGCGGGTGGGGTGGTGTATATAATATATATGATATTTATTATGGGGATTTTATGGTTATATAGGTTAGTGGAATTATATATATATATATTGATGGTTGAGTTGTAAGTTTACATTATATATTATTATATGTCATTAGTTTTATTAGTGTTTAATATATATGGTACGTATTGTTTTTTTTTGGGTTTGTTGTTCATATGTTTGATGTAGGTAGGGATTTAGTAGTATATATTATTAACATTACATCACATATTATAGTTTTAGGAGGTGTTTTGTGGGGGTTTAGTTTATATAGGGTATATTATAGAGGTAGTTCTTGTGTGTGTGGTGTAATTTATGTATATAGTAATTGTAGGAATATTTACGATATATTTGTTATTTATTAAATATATTGTACATAATATTGTTATCATCACATTCATATATGAGTTTTAATGTTATATATTATTTAGATTATTTTTATATATATTG